GTGAATCTCTGAGGCAAGAAAATCCGCCAATAAGCGCAGGACCCACCAAGATAGAGGAGGAACTTTGTCACAGTATATATATAGTAATATCAGACATGCTATTTAAAGGAAATAGAATAATTTTTCTTTGAATATCACTGAAATATCAGAGGATGAGAACCACCTCAAAAATATGACAGATCTTAGAGTCCCTTACTTAGTCTTTACTCTGACAAATTCCACTGAATTTCATGGGATTCAGCCTGAGGAAAGACCGAGTCGTAATAAAGTGAGTAAGAACCTCACAATTCAGCCTAAGGTGAACATAAGTAGAAAATTAATTTGTAGTTAAAGTTCAAAATTCTGGGAAAAGAGTATTGTTTTCTGCACATTTTCAAAAATGCTATTTGCAAGTAAAGACAATGGAGTGGAATTTATGAAGTCAAAATGTAACATGGGGGAGTGGTAATGGAGTATTTTGTGGGATGTGGCATACATGAGTGAAGTGGATGGCACGTTATATACCTACTGTTTGGCTCTGACATACCACTGGTGGACAGTGTCTTAACAGTTTTAGGTGGTATGCCTATTCTGAAAAGCAGGTGAGGGATAGGATTTTCACTTCACTAAAATACATGCCACAAAATACAGCGTCATCTACCTCATGATTTTAAAATACATGGTCAAATTTGGAGTCATCTGACTTATCTGATGTTGCAAACACTGATGGGGGCATTGGACTGCTGTATGAGTACAGTTTCTTAGATTTTTTTTAAAAATTTTAAACAGTTCACAAGTATACAATATATGCTGCCCATAAATTTATATTGACATAGGCAGCCTGTCCATTATCTACAGTGGATCCATATTTATCAAAAGTAAATACTGTCAGGACAACACACCCTGCAACAATCTTTGGAATTCATTGGAACCCTGCTCTTTCATCAGAAATTTTTAAGTGCTTAACTAATAATGCGACTCTTAGGAACAGAGATAGGCCTGAACCAAAATCAGAGATCTAAACACCTCTAAAGTTGGGGAAATTTAGAATCAAAACCTGGATCTCAATTTCACATTTGCCCTTACCTCTACCAACCAAAATCCCAAACCTACATGCCAGCAGAGTTGGAGGTTAGAGGGTCTGTTACCTCAGGCACAAGGAGCAAAGCATGTATTTCTTAATCTAGTTTATTTTAATTTCACATTGAGGAAAACTACAAACAAATACAAATAAAAACAATTAGCCTCCTTAATCAAATATAGTCAGATCTTACTGGAGCTGGGGTGGCTGGCTTGCAGTGCTGAGCTCTACCTGGCATGACAAATAGTTCTTTATTACGCTTTGTTGCTGTTCTATAGCCATGTTCAGTGCTCAGCCACAAAAAGTGTTGCGTTTATTGAAGGCCTGACTCTATCCTCATAATAGGGTTTCAATGGTGAATAGATCTTGCGCTGGCCTCCAAATGGGGTGGATAGCACCCGAAGGGAGTAAGGGTGGCAGGACTGGGCCCTGAATATGTTACTAAAAACGGCTTTTTCGGGGCTAGATTGTGCAAATTGCATGAAGGCTAAAGGAGTGGTATGGAGACACACTGCCCCAAGGGGAGCACCCGAAGGCATCCTGCCTTTGGGTAATGCAGCTTATTCCCTTCATGTGATGTCTCTGCTCCCTGTAGATTGCCGTGTGCCACCAGGGGGCACAATACCTGTTCTCTCTTGCCTGAAGGGCAAATTGCAAATTCTGCTGGGCCCTTATATGGGCTGTGCTGTCGGCGGATGGCTCCTTGCAGTCTCTACCACACTGCATCACTCAGCGAAATCTTCAATTTAGCATTAACGGCCAGTCCTCCTTGCTGCCAACAAACAGATCGATGACTCTTTCCATTTCAAAGTTGATAAAACCTTTAGGGAGTACTCTCCCTGTCCTGTATGCACTTCTGAACCCCCACTTGCTTCACATGTATTTGGGGTTCGCTGTGCTGTATTGGGGAGCCAATCTAGTTATGACATAGAGCAATTTAAAAAAAATCCATGTCTTCATTTGAGTATCAGTAAAGCCATGCTATTTTTTAAGCTCATGCCATCTCAGTTTCAAATTTTTGAAACATGTTTGTGCTGATAAACCACATTTTTTTCCCCAAACTGTCAAAATTTCATGATTTTTCAATTAGCTCAAATGCAAATTTTATTGAGAGATGCTGCAAGAACATTCTCAAAGGCCTGCATACATGACAGGATCTAGGAGTAACCATCACTAGACTACCTAAGCAGAGAAGATCTTCTCAAAACAAGCAGTACTCAGTGTCTCTACTCTGAAGCCTGCCAATAGCTTGTGGTATGGTCAAATCCTATGGTCCTGGCCTACTACTTCCTCAAGGATATGTCTATTGAAGTCAGTGCACCAAGTCTTGCTGGTTTTATTGGGTCTTTAGTCAGACAAAACTCCCAGGGCTGGCTGAGAAGTCCAGTCCAAACCTCTGAGGGGGTAGCTATAGAAGGAAAGTTCAGCAAAATCTAAATGTCCTCTCTAGCCTTGGGAAAAAGTCTGATTTCAGTTGGAGTTTTGCCCGAATAGGGACAGAGTGAAAAAATATATAAATGGGCCCATTAGGAACAAAATTATTCAGCAAAATTTTCTTTTAAATTTAAATAAAAGCTTTTTATCTTTAAGAACAGGCCCCAATGTACTTATTGCACTGATTTATAAAACTGGCCACTCTATTAGGAGGATTTGGGGGAGTTGAACCCAAATCAAAATGCCTAAGAATATGTACGGAAATGTTTGACAGAACATAGAGGTTTCAGTATCCAGGTTAATACAATTCAGGCTGTTCATATTGAAGAGATTATGACTTTCTTTGGCAGGAAGTTTGCATTATATTAACATGGGAATTAATTGACCCAAACATGATTTACTGTGGCTGAATCAAACATTTCTTATTGACTGGGTTTCATAAGTGAAGGCTCTGAGTATTTTCATATCTTATAGGCAGTGTCTAGGTGCTTAAACACATTATAGTTTTTTCCCTTCAGACAGTGTTCTGGAACTAGGGGTGCTGGGAGTGCGGCAGCACCCCCTGGCTGGAAGTTTCCATCCTATACAAGGTTTACAATTTTGCTCAATGGCTTTCAGAACCCCCACACACACTATAAAAATTCTACCAGCACCACTGCCCTCAGTTAAAGGTTAACATTAATAAATAAAACAAAACACAAAACAAGCCCTCATACTAGATGGATGTCTGTTACAAAGTATTTCTGCTGAATTTTAATCCAAAAAAGGCTGGCTTTAGTGCTGGTATTTTTTAATTAAAATCCCCACCACTCAGCTCCTTTTTTGTCCTATGGAATATCTATCAATCAGGAAGAATTACAGCAGGATGTACTACTTGGCAGGAGGCCATTCTGTCCCCTCCACCAATCGTGCCACAAACTTTTTTCCCCCCTCCTTCCCCCATTCATTAACTAAATGTATTGAATAAACCTTAACATCTCAACTAAATCCTATTGACCCTGGATTTGCTGCTTAATGCTAAAACCCAAGTGACCCATTTTTCTCCTGTTGATACTTCTATCACGGACAGCAGCCAGCACAGAAAAAATATCCCAGTTACATTAAAATATTTAAGGAACAAAATTTACAGAACTCATTATTCAATCTTTCTGCTGCTGTTCATGAACTTCACATAAGCTCTTGCTTCTTGCGTGGATTCATTCTTTCCTTTGGTGCTTCATAAGCAACAAAGTGCAACTCTTGCTTAGCAAACGGAAGTGGCAAAACGCAGTTATTAATATGATAGATTTGAATTTAAAAAACAACAACACTGTCTTAAAAATTCTGTGCAACTATATTTCTGTGCATTCTACATGTTCCTGCCAGAAAGGGTTATTAGAATTTACAGCAAAATATAATTACCGAAATACTTTATTTTGATAGGAACTCACAATGAATCTGCAGCGCTAAAAACTGCTATTTTAGTTTATTTTTAGACTTCACCGTGGTTTGTAATTAGTGCAGTTGCTATCTTTCGATGTTTATAATCATTTGCTTTGCTGCTTTCATATACGTAATAGAGACCTCTGAAGGTTATTCAGAATCTCACGCCTCCTAGTTGCAGAACCCTCCCCCTGCACCCACCTTGTAATTGTTACATCTGATCTGCCTCCCCCTCCGCTGCCAATCCCTCCCTCTGCCCTTGATGACAAGCATCCTGATGCTCACTTCCCAGCTCTGGATCCCTTATGCAATAATAGTCCAAAAAGAACCCATAGCAGACTTCCCTCCCAGCTACAGAAACCTCCCACAATAGCACTCAACAGCCCTTCATCCTGACCACCCTTAGTTGCCAAAACCTGTCATTACCCCTCACTCTGACTAGCAACCTTCCTCCTACAACTTCTCACCAGTGCGTGCTGAGGCCTAATATCCCTGCCCTTCCTCCCAGCTTCTGAAGACCCTCTTCTCCAAGCAAGTGTCCCATGCACCCACAGCCACTTGGCCCCAGCCATGTTCCCTGGTAGCTTTGGAAGCTTCCCACACTGTAGAGAGGTGTCTTCTCTGCCATGCTACGTGCAGCATGGAGGAAGCTTGCTGCTGTCTTTCCCTGCCATAAGAGTCTGGTCCTTAGGAAAGATGGAGGGCCTGATTCACTCCTGCGCTGCACCATGTGAAGTCATTTATACAAGGGCAAAGTGAGGGCAACCTGGGTACAAATCACTACCATTCAGGTATATTAACTTTTTGTACCTAATTTTCAAAGGTGTGAATGACTACACCAAATGCAGGGTAACAGAATATGCCTCATAATTTGCAGGGGACACTGACAAAGTGTTCAAAACTTTATCTGTATATTATTCAACTACCAAGCCAGTGTTGTGAAATTTCATATTAAAAATATCAGCCAAATCAGTTCTAATTAATGTCAAACACAAATCCCCTCACAAAGGCCTAATCATAAATGGAATTCTGAATAGCGTGGGCCCCATCCTGAAGCCCTGACTCAGTTTATAACTCAAATCCTTCTTCAGACAAATCTTTGTGGGCATAAGAACTGAGTAAAAAGGATCTAGCCCTATGGCAATCAATAATGCACTAAAATTAAAAATTATAAACTACCTGAAAGAAAATCAAATCTTTCATTCAGGGTATGAAACAGACATTATGCACTAAGAATATTACCAACATGACTACTGTGAGGCCGTTTTAAAATAATGATGCTTTCTTATGTTACTATTTTTCTTGCTAATATCACTAGCGGTGCACTTGTTGGGGTTTTAGCTTCTTTAAATGACAAAAAATATGTTCATTCACTTAAGAATAAACATTTAATACACTCATATCTCATTGCATTATCACCACATACAGTATGCTGAGTGTTAAAATAGAGTTCTTGAGGGGAACTACTAGCTATTGATTTTAACATTATGAAAAAGTTCATAATGTGATGAATAAGAGGTCAATTATAAGGAACAGCATTGGTCCAGACAATAAATACATCCACCTGAATACTTATTTTATGACATATTTGTGGATTGGGATGATAGATATACAGGGGATCTTCTTTCATAGTGCACCCGCTATATCAACTTGTAAAACTGCTATCGATATTCTTCATGTACCTTTACTAAAGCTGTGTCATTACTCCTCAACATGTGTTCATGTTTTTCTCTGACTAGATTTTTTTTTTAATACAACAGCTGCTTCCCTAAAAGGTATTTTAAAAATAAACGGCAAGTATCCATCATAACTATCCATAAACCTTTTATTAAGCACTTGCCTAGCTTTGGTATGGTTGGTTCTTAGAATCCATTTTGAATAATCCAGTGACAGTGCTGGAACTTTGCACCAGGCATGGAGAAAAGCAGTGGACAAATGGATTACCAGTTACTTGACTCCATTTTTCACTATCGTTTCATTTCTAAAAACTTCATATAAAGGAGGAAATAAGCGAAATACCTGGGTCTGACAAAGAGCTAATTTTGTAATAACATAATTCATATTTCTTTTTTTAATTTGAAGGCATGCACGCACAGTGATTGAAATAATTTCCTGCTGCGACTTGATTTTGTTGACTGTAATTTTACACTAGAGCATGCGACTATTAACTATTCAGTTAATACATATTGTAAAAAATGATAATTGGGAAACAGATCAAATAAACTATCTTCAGAAATATAAACATAACAGTCATCATATGGATATATTTAAACATAACAGGACTGTTTAAATATAAAGCATTAAAATAATTCAGATCCTCAAGATGGTTATATGAAATTATATAACAGATGTGTCACATGAATTTATATGTAGTTAGGCTTAACTGTACAGTTTTTCCACCCTAAAAATAATATTTTGACTTTAAAAAAATCCAGAGACCTAAGATGATTTTATTACCATTATAATAATAATTTTGTTAATTTTCTGAATAATACTGAATTTTCCTTAAGTAAAAGAAATATGAAGTAAGAAGTTGTACTTTTTCTTTATCTCTCGTGCAATGTACAGCATTAGACTATACAGTTGTTTACTTAGGTTCATTCATTAGTAAGGTTAAAAAAAAACCCCAAGACATTGGAATGACATATTAAACATGTTCATGTAACTTCAAATGGTGAAACCTCCCTCCATGAGAAAATATTACAATTCACTTGATTTTTTACTGTAATGCCAGTTTACAGTATGTCAAAACTTCTTAGCCTCTGCCTTTCTAATCATACCACTACAGCTTGTGGTTTTCATAGTGAATAGCTTGCTCTTGCCTTTCCCCATTTCACATTAAACTTACAACAAACTATTATTTGGGGGGGAGGGGGCTCTAAATGATGTTAAAGCATTTAAATCCTCAAGCTGAAGACTCAGGCTGAGTTACTCAACAAAATGAAGCGCACATATTTCCAATGACAATCCCTAATACATATTTTAATGTAGCACACTTGTCCAGATAAGTCACACACATAAAAACATCTCCATACAAAATCACTTTTAAAGCAACTTGTTAGCTTAAATCTTTTAAAGATTTGCCCATTGTTAGGCTGCCCTAGCCATTCGGATGTCACCAGTAATAGTCAGCTAGATAAACAAAACTCTGATCAGAATCATAATGCATATGGGACAGCAAATAGAGCAAGCTGAGTTCCAGTCTTCAAGCTTCAAAGAAACATGTCCTTCAATTGCAATCTAACTCCTGAAAATAACATACCATTTCTAATACTAAAGATTTTCAGCTAAACCCCTCTACATCATCTGAACAAATAAATCTGACTGGTAGAAGTACTGACCTGCTGAGCTGCTCTCAAAGCCCGCACTTCAAATGCAAAGCTCAGCCAGACTTTCCGAACAATTTCCTTCTGCACAGTTATAGTGAGTGTGGTCCCTCTATTTGTCTTCTGATTCCAAGGGTGGACAGATGGCCGGGAGCCCTGAGCCCTACTGGAATGAGGCAAAGCTTTGCCTTTTTTTTTTCCCCCCTCCCTCTCCTCTCCCCTGGCTTAGCCCCTGGCAGATAAGCCAGAGTCAGGCACAGTGAGCTCACCACACCCCTCCACCAATCATTTCAATTAGTGCCACATGAGAGGAGCTTCTGCCCAAAATCTGCTTAAGAAAGGGCCAGAGGGCAGGGCAATCTCCTTTGCTCAACAATGACCAGAAGCTGCTATAAATATCCAAACAAAAGCACTGTCAAGGCCAGGAATGTCACATTCTAATGTGATAAAATTGTAAAGACTCTCTCAGTGTACAGCACGAGTACAGAGAAATAAATGCACAGAGATTAAAAACAAAACCCACCAAAGCATGGGACATATCAACATGCTATCGAAGTTATACATTTCTAGTTATAGAATGCTATGCTTCCATTAGTTTTCTTGTGTAGGTACTAGCATCATCTGTGGCCCCGTCTTCCACAGTTACAGTTGGTTATGTCATGTCAAAAATGACAGGTTTTCCATAGCTTGAACATATTAATAAGAGTCACCTACATAAAGTAATTACTGTGCTAATAAACTACATACACTGTTGTATGTTTGCTCCCAGGATTCAGGGCCTGAGTCTCATCCCACTTGCACTAGTGTAACTCCACTGACTTCACTGCCACACTAGAGCTACACCGGTGTATGTGAGATCAGATTCCAGCCTTAGGTTTTTAACTATATTGCTGGATAATGGGACTTAAAACCAAATTACAGATTACAAAAAGGGATTTAGCAAAGTGGCTCACTATACAGTGACCAGACCTAAAGCACGTACATTACTTTGCAAACATCCAGTTCCCATTGTGGCTGATGACAGCTGCTTGCTACAAGTTGCTGGGCAATGCTTGCTGTGGTGAGGGGAGGGGAGGGGAGGAAAAGGGAGTGGTTTCAATTGCATTCTACTACTTGTAAACCCAGCAGTGCCTGAAGGATAGCAATTTCCAGCCTGTTGATGGTAGGATGACAATAGCTAGGTTAATCTGAGGGGAAGTGTGTAGTAACAATTCCCTATTTCCTACCACAGATACACCTAAATGTGAAAAATGTTTAAAGGGTGATCAGGTGGGTGATCTATTTATCTCTCTCTCCATCTATCACGTCAGTGTATTCATACATCTGTGCATAATATGTAATTCTATAATTTACACACTAACATAAAGCCCTGGCATGATACTAGAGCAGGGATAAAAACCATTTGAAAAGATTCCTGCATTGCTGTGATAAATATTGTGCACCAAATTTCTGTTGAAAGCAAATGGAAAACATTTTATTCCCAGGTACTACATTGCACATGGTTGCATGTACTTCCACAATGAAAAGTGCTTCTTTTTATTAAAATGCTTTATATGTGGGTTTGAGATGGTTTACTTGTTATGGTTATCATCCAAGATGGATGTCTTAGTTCTTTCTTTTTTTTTTTAAATTAGACTCAAAGGGCGTGTCTAAACGGTGGCAGTAGTGCACTCTAGGGGGGTATGATTTCTAAAGTGTGTTGCACATTAATTGGTCCGTGAAGACCCTGCTGGTGTGCTTTAACATAGTGTCATTTGAAACATCTACGTTAAACTCATTAGGGAACCTTTAGTACGCACCAGCAAGGGTCTGGTGCATTTCTCCACCATGCAGACAAGCCATAAGAAACTGGGGGTAGTGCACTGAGCACAGTTATAGG